GGGGGTGGAATGGGGGGCACTGGAGGGGGATCGGGTGAGCAGTGGGGGTGTTCTAGGGGTGCCTCAGAAGTGGCCGGCAGCAAGCCCCGCTCCTGGAGGGTGGGGGAGTGCCCAGGGCTCCCTGCACTGGCCCTGCCCCGTGCACCAGCTCCGCACTCTCCTTGGCTGGTAACTTGGTGCTGGCTGCTTCTGGGGTGCAGCCTGGTCTGCAGTGCCAGGAGAGGTAGGAAACTCCAGGTAAGCCTCTCCTATGCCAACCCTAACCTCCCCCCAAAGCCAGAGCCCTCTCCTACACCCCAAAGCTCCACCCTGGAGCCGCGCAGAACAGTTTTTACCCGTCTACACTGGCCCTCTTGAGCAAAAGCATTTGCGCAAGCGGGCTTATCCCTGAGTGGGAGCATCATAGTACTTGCACAAGAACACTGACAATCTTACATGAGATCGTCAGTGTTCTTGCAGAAATTCAAGCGGCCAGTGTAGACAGCTGGCAAGTTTTTCCGCAAAAGCAGGAGCTTTTGTGGAAAAACTTGCCAGTCTGGACGCAGCCCAGAAGTGGCTGGCAGCAGGCCTAGCTCCAAGGTGGGGGTGGGAGGAGAGTGCACATGGCTCTGTGTGCTGCCCCTGCTCTGAGCACTAGCTCTGTACTCTCATTGGCTGGTAACTTGGTGCTGGCTGCTTCTGGGGTGCAGCCTGGTCTGCAGTGCCAGGAGAGGTAGGAAACTCCAGGTAAGCCTCTCCTATGCCAACCCTAACCTCCCCCCAAAGCCAGAGCCCTCTCCTACACCCCAAAGCTCCACCCTGGAGCCCACATTCTATTCAAATTATGTTGAGTCATGGGCATCAGTATTTGTCTTCAACTGGGTAATGATGGAAAAAAAAAGTTTGAAAACCGCTGCCCTAAGCCATCAGCCGTAGATTCCATAGGGTTGAGTACCAAGGATGGTCTGGCAGTGGTGCTGTTTCTCCAGAGGGGTCATCTTGTGGTTTCCTCCTCTTCCCATCCCAGCAGAGCTTGATGGCTTGCGGCAACATCTGTACGTGCGAACTCAGCCCAGACATCCTGCAGGTTCATCATAGAACCCCCTGCCCTTGCCTGACATGTTGGGTCAGTGAGTGGTCGTCATGGGAGGCAGACTGACACTTGTCTGCAAAGAAAGGTCTTCATCCTTTGTTTCTTAAGACTAAACATGCCTGGGTGGTTTCAATCTTCCCTCGTACATTAGCTTTTCGGAGCCTTTAGAATTTTTGTTGCTCTCCTCTGGACTCTCTTCAGTTTGTCCATTTCTTGCTTAAAGTGAGGTAGCCAGAACTGAACACTGTCCTCCAGCTGAGGCCTCTCCAATGCCACGTAGACACGGACAATTACCTCCGAGTCTTACATATGTCACTCATGTTAATATCCCCCAGAATGATATTAGCAACTTTTGTGCCACTGCATCACATCCACTATAATCCCAGCCTCTTTTCAGCAGTGCTACTACCTAGTCAATTCATCCCCATTTTGTAGCTGTGCATTTGATTCTTCCTTGCTAAGTGGAATAGTTTGCACTGATCTTTGTTAAATTTCATCTTGTTGATTTCAGACCAGTTCTCCATTTTTCAGGGTTCTTTTGAATTTGACTCCTGATTTCCGAAGTGCTGGTAGCCCCTCCCAGCACCATGAAATCTGCCCATTTTGTTAGCACACTCTCCTTTCTGTTATCCAAGTCATTAATGAAAATATTGACTGGTAACAGACCCAGATATGGCCCCTGAAGGGCTCACTCCAGATGTCCTCCCAGTTTGCTAGTGAGCTATTGACAACTACTCTTTGAGTATGGTCTTTCAACTAGCTGTGAACCCACCTTACAGGTATTTCATCTAGACCACATTTCTCTAGTTTGCTTATAAGAATGTCAAAAGCCTTATTAAAATCAAAATATATCACATCTTGGCTTTCCTCCACTAGCCGCTCGGCCATTAACTTTGTCAAAGAAAGAAATTGGGTTGGTTTGGAGTGATTTGTTTTTGGTACATCCATGCAGGAAGTTTCTCATGTCCCTTTTATCCTCTAGATGCTCACAAACATTGTTGAGCAATTTGTTCCAGGATCCTTCCAGGTATTGAAGTTGGCTGACTGGTCTATAGTTTCCCAGATCTGATTTGTTTCCTTTTTTAAAGATATGTACTATGTTTGCCCTTTTCTAGGCCCCTGGACCACATCTGTCCTTCAGGAGTACTTGAAGATAATTGCTAGTGGTTCTGAGATTGCTCCCGCTAGTTCGTTAAGTACCCTGAGATGAATTTCATCAGCCCTGCTGAGCTGAATAAATCCGGTTTATCAAAATATTCTTTAATCCATTCTTTCCTTAGTTTAACTTGTGTTCCTTCCCCCTTCTTGTTAACTGAAATCGTGTTGAGTAGCTGGTCACCATTAATCTTTTTAGCCTGGGGGGGAAAAAAAACCCAGTATAACCCACCCAAGCCTTCTTGATGGTATTAGTTATTAGCTCTCCTTTCCTGCTAATCAGTCTCCAGTTCCTACTATGTTGAAAGAGGATCTGCTATGTCCCTGAGCCCCATGTCACTGGGTCCTCCTTACACCTAGGTCAAGCCTTACACCTGGGCCTGCCTTACCCTTTGGTCCCCTTCATCACTGAGCCTTCCTTACCCCTGGGCCCACCTTGTTCCTGGGTCCTTCTTACACATAGCTCCCCCTTCACCTCTAGACCATCTTTGAATCTGGTCTCCACTTACATCTCGGCCTGCCTTGTCCCTGTGTCTTGCCCCTGCCCCTTCCGCTTGCTCTGGGTCCCTCGCACTTTCCCTCACTGCGGCCTGGTCTGCTGAGAAACAGGACACCAAGGGGAAGACTGAGGCTTGGCTCTCACGCACAGCAGGCAGATCACTAGGCTAGGTCAGGCTACCCGGCTGAGCCGGTGATTCTCCCAAGAGCTGGGTGCAGCCTCATTCAAAACTGGCTTTTAGTGGGGAGATCCCTGCCCTGGACTCTCTAACACTCTGACTTTCAGACACTCAAAAGAACCAAACACAGACCCAATTCTGTGTAACCCTCCAGGCATTCCTTGCCATAGACCCCCTGGGGTCTTCACAACAGAGCTGTTCTGTTCCTGTCACCAATGGCCTCCACAATCCAGCCTGAGGGGCCAGGCCCCGAAGGGGCCACCGCTGAGGGGAATCTGCCTCTAGGAATTCCCCCCCTGGTCCTTGGCCTGAGCCCAGCTTCTGGCCAAGGAGGGTTTACGCTGTGCCAGGAAATGAGGCTAGTTGTTCCCACTGTGGATGATGAGAGGCCCTGCCAGGCCATTGTTCTGCCCTTGTGTGTGTCAGCTCATAAATCACAGGCTCATCAGAGAGAGGAAAGGGGAATTCATGGCTGCCTTCCCGCCTGTAGCCTCTTCCACCGGAGCAGCCGCTGGCCACTGTAGAGTGGAAGAGCCTGGGTGGAGAAGGTGACTCCAACTCCCAAGGGCCATGTTGAATCACTGCTCTAAGCATTAACGTTGTGAGGTGCCCAGAGGGCACAATGCTGGTGATTTGTACTGTAAGAAAATGGAGACTCCTGATTCTCCTCACGGCCTGCACCGCTCCTCCATCACCCCCGCCCCCGCAACAGCACTATCTACAGAACAGCTTCCAGGAGGCAGGATGTCAGGAAAAGGCCTCATTTCCTAGGAATAACGAATTTAAGAGGAATAAGGGATCTTCTGGAAAAGGCTTTATTTTCCGAAAGATCCCGTCTAGACTGGCGCTTTTCTCCGGCAAAGCCCCGAGCCGGAAAAAAGCAGCAGCCATGTTCATGCAAATGCCGCGGGGGATATTTAAATCCCCCGCGGCATTTGCAATTCCGACTTGTCTCATTAGCATCCCTTTTCTGGAAAAGGGATGCTAATGTAGGCACAGCCCAGGGGTTTTCAAAGTTGGATCATGGGCTCGCCCCGTTTTGCAAACTGACATTTTTCAGAATGTCTGTCCCATGGAAAAATTCATCATTTTTTGCCCTGTTTTGAGATGTGGGGATGTTGGACTTTCCCAGGGGATGGAAATTCCATACTTTGCTCACACATGCATTCCATACCCACCCCTTGCCCTCATGCCCCACTATTTCCTGTCCCTTTCCCTAAAGCACACGGAGGGATGGAGGGGCAAAAGCACCACCCAACGCCAAAGGCATGAGAAATCATTGGGGGACGAATGGCCTCAGAGCCAACATCCACATGGCCTGATTAAATTCTGGGGTGAGAGAAAGTAATCCCTGCTCAACCCCCACACTGGCCTCAGGGGCTGTCCAAAGAATGACATCTCCCTCCAACACTCGGCGTGTAGATGGTCTGTGTTGTCCAGACTCCAGAGACCTCCACCCTCTAGCAGCCAACAGGTGAATTCCTGGTGCTTGCGTTAGGGCCTGAAGCCCATAGAATGCACCTCCAACACCAGTGGCCTGACGGTGGGCACACGGAGCTAAACTACCTGATGTCTCTTTTTGTAGCCCAGCAGCCTGCAACTGAACATGAGCGACTTCAAAGAGCTGCTGCTGCTGAATTACACCGACTACCAGGATTACGATGCCGCCGCCGCTGCCCCCTGCCACAGCAGCTACTGCTCCTTATTGGGCAGCTCTATCCCTAGCTTCCTGGCTGTCATCTGTGCCCTGGGCCTGCTGAGTAACTTGGCCCTGGTGGTGGCCTTGGTCACCTGCCAGAATCTTTGGAGTGGGCCACCTGGCCGCACCTTCCTGTTCCAGCTGACACTTGGCACTTCCCTCTTCACAGCCACGTTACCATTTTTTTCTGCAGGCAGCAGCCATGGCTGGGTCTTTGGTGATGGGTTCTGCAAGGTCGCATTCCTGGTGTGGTACGGGAGCCTTTTTGCCGAAGGGCTGCTGGTGGCTGCCAGCACGTGCAGTGCCTGGCTGGCCAAAAGGGTTGCCCGCCAGCACTTCTGGGGCATGACCGTGGCTCTCTGGGTGGCCTCTGTCCTCCTGGCAGTGCCAGCTGCCTTCATGAGTAGGACGGAGGAGCACCCTCAGAAGATGTGCCTGTGGAAGGACAACAGTGAGCAGCAATGGTGGAGTCTGGCTCATGTCACCACCTGCCTGGCTGTTTTCATCCTGCTCCCCATCGCAATGGGTGTGGCCAAAGCAATGCTGACTTGGCATAGGCGCGGCTGGCAGCTGAGGGTCGGTGTGACATGGCTGTTCTTCCTCCTCTGGGTGCCGTATGGGATAGCCCTGCTCCTGGACTCACTGCAGAGAAGGCAGCTACTCTCCACCAGCTGCCTTTTCTGGGAGAGCCTTGACTTCTTCCTGGGGCTGTCAGAGGGCCTCGGTATACTGCACTGCTGCCTCGGGCCCCTGCTGCTTCTCGGAGTCGGGCTGTATCACCGAAGGACGGACGCTGGACCAGGCCCTCTGGGCATGCCAGGGCTCGGTCTTGCCAGCCCCCAATGTTCCAAACCCATGAGTCAGGCTCCCCAAAAAGCATGAGGTTACCTCTGAAAAATCATGTGATTCTGGACAAATATGCATGTTTTAATTTGCCTTCTTTATGAGCCTTTAGGGGGCCCTGGAGTCACCTTCTGAAGCTTTCTCCATAGCCGCAAAGGCCAGAAGTTTACTTTTTCTCTAGGCGTGGAGGCTGACGTCCTCACACTCCGCATGACGCCAGAAGCTGGGGTTTAAGGGGAAAACAGTCATCATCATGAGACTCTTGACAAAGTCATGAGCCTTGGCAACCCTGGGGGTGGGACTACCCAGGTGCCCTCTAGCTCATGCTCTGCATGGCCAGGTTGGCAGCCCCTCTGCGCTCTCTGAGCCCAATTCGCCCTCCCTGGCCCTTGGTATCATCATTGCCACCCAAGCAGAGCTGTTGCTTCCCACTTGCTATGGGTGCAAATAACAAAATGTGCCTGGGGGATGGGGGAGTCAAACCCCTCTCACTCTGAACCGGGACTCGCACCAACATCATAGAACACTAGAACTGGGAAGGACCTCGAGAGGTCATCGAGTCCAGTCCCCTGCCCTCATGGCTGGACCAAGCACTGTCTAGATTAGGGGTGGGCAATAACTTTTGTCCAGGGGTCACTTCAAAAATTTTTGAAGTAGCCCTGGGCCACCCCGGAATGAGTGGGGCCTAAACAGGAAGGGTCAGGGCTGCCCCACCCCCATACCATGATTGGTCTGGGGGTGGGGGAGCCCCTTGTCCCCCCTTTCCACTAGGCACCCATGCCCTGGAAGAGGCTTGGCACGCTCCTGCACCCCCAGGCCAATTATCAACCCTAATGTCATTACCTCACATACACTAACCTTCCTCCCTCAGTCCCCCTCTGTTCTAAAATCTGATTTGTTAATTTTATGTGTTTGCTTTTTTTTGATTGTATCACTTTGGTATATATGGTTGTACCGATTTTCTTCCACATATTGATCTGAGGAAGTGGGTCTGGCCCACGAAAGCTCTTCACCTAATAAACCATCTTGTTAGTCTTTAAAGTGCTTCATAGTCCTGTTTCAGCTAGACCAGACTAACGTGGCTGCATCTCTATCACTCCCCCACCTAGGCTCAGGTTACAACAGAGCCTGAGCTATTGTGTGCGCAGGGGCGGCCCATCCATATAGGTGAACTAGGCGGTCACCTAGGGCACCAAGTTAAATGGGGTGCCAAATGGTGGCGCAATATCATTGAGGGGTTTGAAGGTGGGGGTGCCGATTGCCTGGTTCGTCTAGGGCACCAATTGCTGGCAGCTAGTCTAGGGCCACCCCTGTGTGTGTGTGCTGGGCTGGGGCAGTGTCAGCCGACGGTCAGGGCAGTGAGTCCCTTATGACCGGCTGAAGTTCTTTTAAATTGTGCTTGGTTCTGTTACAGCAACTGAAGGAGTCAGGTTAAAGCTTAAACAGTTACTATTTATTGTTACAGGGTAAACTTAGTTGTTAAATGCTACTACTGTGTAACAGATACCCCAGCCACTACAAAGGACAGGACAGAAATTACACTAATAAGTCACTTACAGGTACCATGAAACCCTTTGGTTCTCTGAGCTCTTATTAAATGCATGCAAAATAGACACATAGCAGGTATATATTCTCACCCCTGCGTTCCAGACTTGGCGTGGCCAGCGTCTTTCTCTCAATCCCTCGGGAAGAAGTAGGGCGAGGTTGGGCGTCCCACAGACCTCGGGAGACAATCAATACCTGCCAGCAGGTATAGATGATTGGAGCTCAAATGGGGTGGGCAGCTCCCACGAAGGGTGCAAAGCATAATTCACACCTGGGAAGATGCAGACAATGGGCACCTCTGGTATGTGATGGGCGAAGATTCCTCTCCCGAGACAGTGCAGGCATGTCAATTACTGATACTAGCCATCACGGCGACGGGAGGCCTCCCAGTCGTCAGCTAGCCCATTTACTGTCTGGTTTCTGTTTATGGTAGAGTCAGGGACAGGCACCACACCTGCGTTCCCAGGGCATCAAAGGCTGACTGCCTTTCTCTTGCTCTCTGGGCGGGGGGGAAACAAGATGGGGTTTGTGTCTGGCTACAGGCAGTCACACCCAAAACTCTCAAGCCCATCCAGGCATGGGTGCAGTGCCCAGGGAAACTGAGGCACACCCACAGACAGTTACACTGGCTCACCCTGCCAAGGTGCTTTACATCTGTCTCAGAGGGGCCTTAAACTCCATGGACAGGAGAATGGTCTCGTCTCTTTGCTGACTTATATGCATGCAATGAGAGTGCCAGTTCTGGCAGTGGTGGGGTAGACAAGTCTCTACCAGGCTGAATCCACCAGGCTGCTTTCACTGGCATTGGATGGGCCATCGGGGCTGTGGGCGACAGCTTGAGGGAGCACAACGCCTCAGCAGATAACACAACCACGCTTGTGCACACAAGCTGGGGCCACCCCAGCGCAGCTCGTCCTCCAGCACCTTCCCACAATCCCCTGCGGGCCCAGCAAGGACAAACAAGCTCTCCCCTTGTTCACGGGGACAGAACATGCAGCACGTCTCAGCTCGCTGCAGAATCGGGGCCGTGCCCCCAGGAGCCAGAGTGTCTCCTGCAAGCCGGCATAGCAGCAGGGGGGTGCCTGCCCAGGCAGAGTGGGGCTTCTCTCCTGCGAGCTGGGCTGACTCAAGTGAGACCCGGCGCACTGGGCACTCAAGTTAACTGCGCCCTGAATACAGACTCTGCTCCTCAACTGGGCCACACCCGAGCACTGAGCCTGTCTCTCAAGCCCTCCCAGCGCTCTGCTCCCTAGGTCCCCTGCCATCACCATGATGCCTGGGAATTGCCTTTGACGCATCCCTCGCACTAGACATCCACTCTGTGTCTAGATCAGATCCCCTCTCCCGGCCAGATGATGCAGCCTTTGTCCGCAGAGCTGAGTCTCTGGCCCAGGTCCTCATCGGCTCTCCTCTTCCTGACCATATCCCCCTCCTCCTGTCTGGCCTCGACAAGCCCCATCCTCCTCCTTAAACGCTTTCGAAAAGCTCCTGACAGATCATTGCCTGGCTCCTCACTTGTGAGGATACAGTGGAAGGGGTCTGGTGGAGCAGATGGACAGAGTGAGGAGACAGAAAGAAAGGGCATGAGGGAGAGTGGAACTAAGGGAACTAAGAACCCCAACCCAGGGCTGCCGCTGGCAAAGCAGGGCGGGCACAGGGGAATGTGGCCAAGAAACGAGGCAGGGAAGAGAAGGCAGGAATTTATCTTGCTGGGAGCTCATTGGGATGTGGCCTCATGGGGCTGTGGGGAGCGTGTAGGGTACAGGACCCCCTGGGGCAAGGCCTCATGGGGCTATGGGATGCAGTCCAGGGTACAATGCTCCCCAGGTGAGGCCTCTGGGGTTGGGGGGAGGAGTCTGTGAGGAGGGGTCTAGGGTACAATGCTCCCTGTCATGAGGCTTCGTGGGGCTGTGGGGAGGAGAGGTTTGATCTGAGCAGGGAGAACTCATTTGGCATCAAACCGATGGGATGGGGGTTTCCCAGTACTCAGCCAACCCTCCCTCTTTTGCCCACAGGAGAGGCTCTGTGGGGTCCAGGCTCAATTGGATGGCCACAAACTGCAGCCTTCTGTCCCCTGGTAGAGTGGCCAGGTGCCCAGATTTTGCCCAGAACACCCACTGGAAAAGGGACCCTGGTAGATCCGGTCAGCATGCTGAGAGGGCCCTTAAAAATCCAGTGGGTGGCACAGCAGGGCTAAGTCAGGCTCCCTCCCTGTCCTGGTCTGAGAGGCTCCTGGAGGCTCCCTGCAGCTGCACTAGGCAGACAGGCAGCCAGGGAGGCTCCCTGCACCGCCCCCAAGCCTTGAATACTGGTTCCACAGCACCCATTGGCCAGGAACTGCAACCAATGGGAGTTGCAGGGGTGGTGTCTGCGGGTGCGAGCAGCACATAGATCCTCCCTGTCCCCTCCACCTAAGAGCTGGAAAGATCCACTTCCCAGAAACTGCCTTAGGTAAGTTCTGCCTTCCCAACAGGCCATGCCAGCCTCCTTGCTAGGAACTTAGGGGACGCTTTGGGCTGCCTGTGCACCCTTACATCTGTGCTCCAGCAGGGGGAGCTACTCTCACAGCTGGGTCGGCCTGCCCTTCTATTCTGGGATGGAGCTGGTGGGGGTGGGGGAGGCGGGGAAGCCCTGAATTCCTGAACTTTGCTTTGCGGCGTCCTGGGAGATGCTTTTGTCCTGTCCCCTCTCAGCAATTTCTGGCTGTGGATGTGAGCAGTGCCACTTAGCGCATCCCCACTGGCCCCAGGGACTTCAGTGGCACAGGACCCAGCCTCGTACTTTGTCCCCTCTGTCACGGGAGACCGGCTGCAGTTTTCCCATGTCTCCCGGGGGTATAATTGTGCTGAGGTGTAACAGGATGTAATTAGGGGGAGCGAGAGAATTAAATGTGGGCGTTACACTTGCCACACACCCGATGTGCTTTGTGCTGCAGACTCAAATCATGTTAACAGCAACTCAGAAAGTAATAAAGGGAAGAAAAGAGGAAGGTGCAATAATTACCACTGAGCGGAGATTAATAGCAGCCTCGGTCAATTGTGACAGGCCGGAGGAACATGCCGCTGCCTTGCTTATTATCTCCAGTGCAGGCTCCTATGCAGCAGACACCACCTTCATGTCTTGAAATGGTTCCCCCAGAAGTTGGCTTCCTGCCCGGCCACAGGCACATGTCTCCCCATCCCTAGGGTGCGTCTAGACTGACATGATTTTGTAATGATGGAATGATTTTGACTGACTTTGTAATGTACAAAATCAGTGGTTCTTGCGCAAATACTCCGACGCTCCCGCTCAGGGATAAGACCTCTTGCGCAAGTATTCTTGTGCAAGAGGGCCAGTGTAGACAGCCACGTTAATTTCTTGTGCAAGAAAGCCCGATGGCTAAAATGGCCATTGCAGCTGTCTTGCGCAAGAGAGCATCTACACTGGCATGGATGCTTTTGCGCAAAAGCAAATCTTTTGCGCAAAGGCACATGCCAGTCTAGA